ACAAAGACAGACAGGAACTGATCATCAGTTGAACATTCCCTATATATTCTATAAACTGTTCACCTTAAATTTCTATTGTGCTTTAATGCTACAATCTGGCTGTCCCACGAATGCTTACAGAAAATTTATTTCAACTTCTTTCTACAGCTAATTACCTTCTGTAACATCTAGGCCACTGCCACCTACATCTAGAGAATGCTGGCATTGCAATAGCTCACATGCCTTGTGGGCTTACCACAGGGCCATTGATAAAGAGCAACTAAAACCATGCCCGTCCTCGTCGACAAAAGACTGCATCAGCTTGGGGACCACAAGAGAAAGCTCATGGCCAATGGTGGAGAGAGAGCGAGACAAGGAGAGTGAGCCAGGGAGACTTCCAGGGACGTCAGCGTGAAAGAGGGCGGAGGCAAGCACAGGCAGGTGGTTCTGCTCCTTCCGAGCTTCCTTATCCTCTTCAGGGTGACAGATCCTGGATCTCATCTCATTCAAACATAAAACTGCTAATAAGCCGAGACATTCTCTGTAAGCAGGTGAAAGCTGTTTTGTCTTCTGGCATTGGATACTTGGTCACATGATACAACCGGCCATAAGGAAGGCAGAGTGCTGTGTACGTCTCTCTCTGCAACATTTTGTGTTTGTTTTTTTAAAAAACACAAGTTTCATCTACCTTAACTGGAGCGTGAAGATGAGCGTGTGAAGCTCTTTTCGATCTATATGTGTAACAAGAGCAGCGCCCCCTGTTGAGTGTCTACTAAGTGCCTGGCACTGTCAGGTACACTACATACATCATTTATTTGAACTTGGAGAACCTGTCTGCCTCCAGAAATAGAATTTAAATATCTTACTTACTTTCAAATTGCGTATTGCCCTTTCCTTAAGAAACTAACATTAAATTTAGTTAGCCCTGCTCTCTTCCTCGGTGCTACCTACGGAGGTAGCAGCCATCTCCTAGTCTGCATCATGGCCGCCCTCAGACCCCTCGTGAAGCCCAAGATCGTCAAAAAGAGGACCAAGAAGTTCATCCGGCACCAGTCAGACCGATATGTCAAAATTAAGCGGAACTGGCGGAAACCCAGAGGCATTGACAACAGAGTGCGCAGGAGGTTCAAGGGCCAGATCCTGATGCCCAGCATCGGCTACGGGAGCAACAAGAAAACAAAGCACATGCTGTCCAGCGGCTTCCGCAAGTTCCTGGTCCACAACGTCAAGGAGCTCGAAGTGCTACTGATGTGCAACAAATCTTACTGTGCTGAGATTGCTCACAACGTCTCCTCCAAGAACCGCAAAGCCATCGTGGAGAGAACAGCCCAGCTGGCCATCAGAGTCACCAACCCCAGCGCCCGGCTGCGCAGCGAAGAGAACGAATAGCCGGCCCGTGCACACTGTATTTGTGTTAATAAAACCATGAAACTCGGAAAAAAAAATTTAGTTAGCCCTAACCCATTATAGGAGGAAAAATAATAAAAATAGTACTGCCAGACTTTATAAACACTTTTTCTGGTGAGAAGTGCAAAGATCACTGGGCTTTCCATTCTACACTCTGATCTAATTTCGTTTCTGAATTTTTAAATCTAATTTTTCTAGCCTATTTTCCAAGTAGCTGATAGCCTCTTCTTTCTTGCGATCCTCTCCAGTGTGTTTTTGCTTCATAATTAGAGGGTAAACTGCTTCCCCTAGTCCCAAATTAGAAAACGTAGAAGTTACACAAAAATAATTTGGACATTGAAGACTTTTTTCCTACGTTGAACTATGAGACTTTGCTGTGAGATAATTGATGAATTATCCATAATCTTTTAAGTGTTTGTTTTACTCACTGCCTAAGTAAATTGCATTTAATTAAAATTTTCATCATGTTAAATATAACAGATGTCAGTTCCTCAGATGGGCTGAAGGCCCAGTAAAGTTCTTTTCTTATTGCTTAGGGATGATATATTCCATAGGAAGGTGTGCAGGAATTTTAAGCATTTATATGAAAGTCATAGTCCAAATTTCTATTTTTGTCCAAGATTAGCTGATTCGACAAGCATTTATTGTATCAGGCGCCCTGCTAGGGGACTGATAATACAGTAGCAAGCAAAACAGGCAGAACACCTGCACTCACAGAGCTTACAGCCAACTGGAGGCAACAGACGTTGAACAAAGAATTACAAATATGACAAATGGCATGGAGAAGATGGGCAGGGTGTCAGGGTGTAATGGGAACAGGTAATAGGCGTAGCTAACTAGCTTTACTGGGGGGGGTGGGGCTGAAAAGATTTTTCCAAAGAAGTTGAAGTTTAAGCTTGAAGCATAAGAAGAGGAAAGAGTTATCTCAATAAGGGACCAGCTTGTGTAAAGGCTCTGAATAGAAAAGAACACCAACTATTCAGGTGCCTAAGAGAAGGGCACTGCAGCTGGAGTGCTGGCTTAGGAAATGTCAGAGAAGAGGCAGGCAAGGACCCGATCACCCAGGTCACCCTAAAGCCCGGGGACTTTATTCTAAGGACAAGGACAATGGAAAGGACAACGGAAAATCCAAGCCAGGAATTTAAAAAAAATTAAAAGCTTAACATGGCTAAAATGCAGAATATAAGAATATATTGTTTTACTATTTAATTTGTTCTGGGATGTGCTCCCGTATCTAGTAATCCAATTCTATTAAGAATTTTTATAAATATAGGACAAATTGTCCAGGATTCTGATACGTAGAATTTTTCTGAGAATAAAAAAGACCCTAGGATAGTTAGGCAAAGCAGAACAGTACTTTGGTACATACCTCTAGGAAGCCTTGAAGCAACAAATGCATGTCCCCAGTTTCTTTATCTATATTACATTTTAACTTGAATTGAAAATGGAAGTGGTGAAGTAATGAAGGCAGGGAAAGGCGGAAGGTATGCATGTATGCATGTGCTTGTGTGCACACAGGTGGTTTCCTGTGGTTCTGAGGAAGGGAAGATTTATGACAACACCAGTATCACATACTCTGTGCTCAAAAACAGAGTCTACCCTACAGAAAGTAGGAAAGTGGAAGCTATAAAATAGTAAACAATTTCTTTTCTTTTAGTTGGGTGTTTTAAGAAAAAAAATGGCAGCCTTTGGGTAACACAGTAGATTTTGACATGAAAACACATTGATTTTAGACTGGGCACCCCGAGATGCTATCTGTGGTACTGTTCTTGGAGTAGCAAAGAGATCCGTGAACACCAGGGCCTTTGGACAACAGAGTATAAGAGGATGAGGTTTTAATTTTCTTTTTTACACCCATCAGTCTTCCCTATGAGCATTTCTTCTTACCTTCTCCAGATGGTCTGCGTCCATTAAATTAGCAGATGGGGTTTTAAGGTTCTTTCCCAGTGGTATTTTCTTACTGGGAGTTGAGAGAAATTCTTGAGGATTAATAAATTTTTTCTTAGTAAATACTAGGAGAGTGGAGGAGAGAGAGAGTTCTGACTACCATTCTCTGTCACCTCACTGTCTCTCAAACCAGAAGTTTTTCTCTTAAACCCTGGACTGCTATGCCTCCTGACTGTTCTGGAGGCTCTTAGAAATGAATGAATAAATATACACTTGGCAAACTGTCTGAGAAAGGCTGCTGACCCTTGTTCTATGAAATCTTGAGCAACAGTAGATCTGAGTTTCATCATCAATTTGTATCTGACTCACTATTTAAAGAGAATGAATCACTCATTTGATTGAATCACTCAGCTCCTTGTCAGGGGTGTGGTACTAAAGAGAGCACCAGCCAGCCTCACATACATTATATCCTGGAGTACTGCAAGGGATAAATTATTCTCATCAAAATAGAAACATATTTATTAAGTACCTAATTGTACATATGACTTGGAAACAATCAGAATATGTAAGTTAAATATTAAAAATAAATTAATGCTTGTTAAAGTTTCATGGAACTGTTGAGATAACTATTATTATAAAAAAAAAAGGAGGAGGCTTGCTATGTATGGTCAGGTTACCAAAGGTCTGGGAAAATTTGGTAGGAATGTTAAGAGTAGCTTTTCAGCAAGTACTTGGCATCTGGTTTAAGACTGGCCACTCTGTTTTCTTGGGCAGAAATGTGGTTATATTAGGCTGTTTTTAGTGATAAAACATTTTTTTTTAAAGTTTCAACCCTTTAGAATCTGACTCACAATGTCCTGATATTATATTCTTTTCTGTAACCAGAGTTATGGATAAAGAAATCTACCTTCTAGCACTGAATGAGAATAGATTTGGGTGTGTGGTCAGATCTATGAGTATTAGAGACAAAGACTAGATAAATTATTATTTAAAAAATAATGTTATGCTGCAGTCATTCTAAATTATGCATTTCAGCTTGATACAAAAGAAAAGAGGACAAAGAGAAAATTAACATTTATCAACTGCCAGTGTTGTATGTCAGGCCCTCATATATTCAGTCATGTGTATTGCCATTAAAGTTCACAGGAAGCCTGTAATAGGTAATGTTTCCATTTTGGTCAAGGAAGAAAGTGAAGTTCAGAGACTAAGATGGCTCAGTTGGAATGCACACTCAAGTCTGCTAGTTTATGACCTTTCCACAAAATCACTTAGCTATAAACTGAAAAACTTAACATCAGGTACGATTAAACAAAATGAGACAGCTTCTCATCTATAATCTCTTTTGGCTTAGAAGGAATCTGTACCTGCAGGGGTGAAAAAGTGAATAAAATCTATTGAAGAAAGATGCTGATAATCTACAAATCTGTTGATAGGGTGGGTAGCAAAAAGAGACGAGACTGGAGAATGTGCATGAAGTAATATGTAAATTTGGGGTCATAATTTTTCTGAGTCTTTGATTTTTTTAAGTTATTTTCAAGATAGGCATCAATGTTTTATTATGTATAAAATGTAAATGTTACTATTCTATCTAGTTTGTAGGGACGCTGTAAAGCTATTGAAGAATTTATAAAATTCTTAGGAAAGCTGCTCTAAAATACAAAGGCTATTATAAGTGTGACCTTCACCTGTACACCTTCATCTGTGCATCTAAAGTACTTCGTTCTTACCTTAATTGCCACACCATCACATTGGATCCTAATCGCTCCCTTATTTTCTGTTATCTCTACCAGAAGGTGGGTTCTGAGACAAGGACCATGTCTCTTCTACGGTGGTATCCATAGTAACCTGGACAATACCTGAAACATAATAAAATTCTCAGTAAATGTTTATTGAGCAAACAACACAACAAAAGGATTTTTCTGATACCAGTTTTCTTATTTCCAAAATGAGAAGATAGTACCATTTTCCTAGACTGCTTTCAGGAGTGTCATGATATGTGTTCATATGTTGACTAGAGACAAGAGCCACAGACATAAAAGGTTGTTACTACGATGATTACTAAGGGGGTATTATTTTACATAGCATAACCTTTTTTTCTGGCTAAAATCTTTTTTTTTTTAATCTAACCAATACATTTCAGGAAGGAGCTATAGGATATTTTCAGTAATATGTAGTGGTACTCTCCATCCTTGGGCTCTCAGGGTTGATCTCAAGCCAGAGATGAGAACAATCTTTCACTAGGTGGCTCCCTTTCCCGTGAGTGGGCGGCCCCTCGGTGCTGGAGGGATGACAGGGGGCACCGTATAGCTGCAATCACCACGTGTCACGTCGCATCACAGTAGGCGCTTGCAGCAGAGGGTCATAGTTCAGTTTCTATTCCGTTAACGATAATCTGTCTTTGGAATTTATTTCAAAATAGCCTGTACTTTCGTTTCCTCTAAATTTACACATGATGTTCCAGGTAGACATTGGTCCAGTGTTTTAATACGTTTGGAGTTGAAGTGGGAGGAAAGAGGGTGAACCTATTCTCCCCCAACAGTGTCAGGGAAAGATCTAGAAAGCGCCTCTTCGCCTAGAGTAAAAGACAGGTACCCAAACCTAGCCAAACGAAAATAGCCCGTTAAAATCCTGATCTTAAGCATCCAATGAGGGCTGCATTCCTGAGGAATTTATACCATTACACACCCTAAAGTACTTTGGGATGGTTACTTTAAAGACTCCACAATACGAATTGAAAATATAATTCGTAAATGTCAAATAATTCTTTCAAACCATTAGGATGACGACTTCTCCAGCTACTTCTCACACACCCTATACTATTATTGACTTCATTCTTTATTCTGCATTTTTAGTTTCAAACCTGAGACAAAATACACATAATAGACGTTCAAAAATATTTGTTCTAAGAATAAAAATCCTTTCCCTATCGGAAGCCTTTCATCGGAACTTCGCGCCAGTACCTAGGCTTCTCTTGATACTATTTTGCCCAACGGTTTCCTCTCCAACCTGAAAGAGACAGAGTGGCAAGTTCTAAAATACTGCAGACGCAGAAGGAGGAAATCTGCACAGAAGAAAGGAACTCGGAGGTCGGCTTTTGATAATCAAGGGGGACCTCCATCGGGGGTTGCCTCTGAGAAGGATGGCGGTGATCAGCGTCTCGCCACGTCCCTGGCTCTGAGTGCTGGGAAACCACTTGTTATAGCCTTCTAGGATGTGTCCCCACTCTCACTCTGGCCTCCTCGCGGCAGGAGGTGGCTCGTGGAGGCCGCGCGGGGGGAACTTCAGGGAGGCTCTGTCACCGAGGGTGTGTGCCGGGTGGGCTTCGGGAGATTTCTGTAAGGGTCGCCCCGCAGATGTCCCTGTGGGCAGAATGGGGATCTCGGCAGTCGTGTGCCGTTCTCCTCCCTCAGGGACCCCGTTCTGGAGGGATCCCGCCTCCCGGAGCCCAAGGCATTCGTGAGGAAACCCCTCGCCCGCCTGGCCGCCTCGCGCCGCAGCCTCGCCCTCCTGGCTCCAGCCTGCCGCCCACCAGCTTTCAGGCCCTGCAGCCTCCTCGCAGGCCCGGCCCTCCGCACACCCCGCACTGAGACGGAACTATGGAGGTGGTTCCCGCCCGCAGGCGGGTGGAAAAACCCACGGTGAATGCCTCGGGGTCTCCCCCACCGCTGCGGGGAAGGGCAAGGGAGGAGGAAATGAGCTTCACCGCCCAGGATAACTACCCGGGTTCCCACCCTGGGGGACGCCTTCAGGTGGAAGGGGAGCCAAGGGGGAAGCCTGGGCACTTAACTGGGAATCCACTCGCCACGGGAGGGCCAGTCTGTCCGCACACACTGGTTACTATGACAATACAACTACAGCCTCCAGTTGCCTTGGCAGCTGATTACCCAATCCGATTGGTTTCTTTTCTCTTCATCCTTCGGCTCCACCCTATCCCCTCCAACAGCCTCCCTGCGTGCAGGGGGAGGGGCCGCAGAAAAGAGGAGGGGGTCCTCAGCGTCACTCTAGGCGCGAGGGCAGACCAGACGAGGGACTGGCGGCCGGAACTGTAGGAGGAAGGGGCGGCGTTTCCGGTAGGGAAGAGTGGAGGAGTGGGAAAAGGAAGAGAGAAAGCGGGTGGAGTGGAAAGACGGGGGAAGGTTTTGAGTGTAACTCCCGGCTGATTAGGGCTCGATGTTCCTGGTGAGGCTGGGGCTGCCCCCTCGCGCGGGAGGAGAGGGGTGGATTGACCGGAAGCTGCCAAGTGCCTCCAGCCGGCCGCTCAGCAGCCGCACCGGCGCAACACAGCTAGCTGATCCCAAGAGGGAGCGCCACAGAAAAGCGGAAATCACCCGGAGGGACGGGCGCCGCTGAAATCTCGCGAGAGGGACCCCCACTTCCTTCCTCTGCTTCTCCCTCCTCTTTCCCCCGCCCCCATCCCTTCTCCCTCCCCCTCCCCCTCCCGGGTCGAAGTGTCCCTGCGCCCCACGGGCCGGAGCAGCAGCGAGAGCAGCTTTCCCCGCTCCCTCCCCCTCGCCTCACTCACCCCCACCCCCCGCCGAGCGAGGAGGAGTCGGAGGAGAGGAAGATGGCGGCGGCCGCCAGCGCCCGCGGTGCCGCGGGGCCGCTCCGAGGAGCCTGAGAGACCCACAGAGGCTTCGCGGGAAGACGCGGCGGCGGAGGATGAGCCTGCAGAGCGCGCAGTATCTCCGGTGAGGGCCGAGGCTGGCCCGGGACGTAGGGGGAGCGGGCCGAGGGTTGGGGCATGGAGCGGCAGACACAGAGG